CGCGCTCACCGGGCCGGCCGTGATTCCAGCAGCGCGCGCTCACCGGGTGTGGAAAAGCGAAGGCCGTGATTCAGATGACACTGGGTGGCACGGCAGCGGGGGCAGGGAAGTCGGCAGCAATCACTTTACTTTGGAATGTCTCAGAGGAGCCGCCCGGTTCGCCTGCACCGTTAAAGATAAGGAGCCTGCGGCACCTAGAGCCCCCATCCGTCTGGTGTCCTGAGCAGGGCTGTGCCCACAAGGCTCACGACTGTGTCTGCCGGTCGGTCTCCGGGGCACCAGGCCACCTGCTGTTTCCACGCTAGAGGTGCAGGAGGGCGTGAGCGGGGCTAGCGGCATTGGGGAATGGTCCGTGTCTGGCAGGACTGGCGCTAGCAGGGACTTAGTTGAGTCCAGACCAGATCTGGGGCCGGGGCTCGCGGCATCCCCCGTACCAGGTGTTCAGCCGTCACGAGGCCCGAACCCCTGAGGCTGAGTCCCTCGTGAGACTTGGAGCTACCCAGGAACCCCACCTCGGTCTGGCGCTCACGGCTCTCAGGCGCGTGGCCGTGCGGTGCGGTCCTCTCGTCCCACTGGGCACCTCCTCCCTTCCAGTGCTGCCTGACCGGGTGCTGGCTGAACGACCTGGGCTCCAAGATGTGGATCGGGAACGTGGAGGCGGACGGCAGCTTCTCTGGCGAGTACCAAACGGCCGTGTCCAGCACAGAGAAACCCATCAAACTTGCCCGGCTCAACGGCTCCCAGAACAAAGCCAGCACAGAGCAGCCCACCTTCGGCTTCACCGTCAACTGGGACAGCTTCTCAGGTACGAAGCCTCATGGGCCCCAAAGCCGGGGAAGGGGGGGACTCGGCTTCCTCCTAGCTCCTCCTGGGGCCGGGCCTCCCCAGCCTCCCCTTCCTCTACCCCTGTCTTGTGCTGCCCCTTTGCCGGGCACCATCTCCTGCTCCTACGTGCCCCACGGCCTCCCTCCCGACCCCTTCTCCTAAGCTAAACAAAACCCCCCCACAC